AGAAAGTGATGTGGTTGGAAGAAGAAACAAATACATATTTTCTTTTAAACAGAAAGGTAGGTCGATGGCTGTTGCAAGAGAGAAGTAAAAATGGGTCAAACCCTGGTGCATTTCTGAATCATGAGGAACCTTTCTCTAATGATGAACCAATAAGCAACAATGATAAAAAACCATAGATTCCATCGTGATCACCCTGAATCTCAAATTATCAAAAACGTCAAATCAGGGGTTCTTACTCGTAGCAGGGCCACCAACAATTTATGCATGTTCGTTAATTTTGTGTCAATGATTGAACCCAAGAAGGTGGATAAAGCTTTAAAAGATGTTGATTGGATCAAGGCAATGCAAGATGAGCTGAATGAGTTTGAATGACACAATGTTTGGATGTTGGTTCCACGTCCTCAAGGGAAAACTGTCATTGGTTCTCTCTGGATTTTCAGAAATAAGATGGATGAAGATGAGGTTGTCACAAGAAACAAGGCATGCCTAGTTGATCAAGGTTTTTGTCAATTGGAAGGCTTGGACTATGATGAGACATTTTCCCCTATAGGAAGACTTGAGGCAATAAGATTGTTTCTTACATATGCATCTTTCATGAACTTTAAAGTCTATCAAAAGGATGTCAAGACCTCCTTTCGGCACGGGGATCTCCAAGAAGAATTTAATCTGAAACAACCACCAGGCTTTGAAAGTGAAGAATTTCCAGATCATTTGTATCGTCTAGACAAAGCTGTATATGGTCTCAAACAGACTCCCAAGGTTTGGTATGACATGTTGACTAACTATCTCCTGGAGAATGGATACAAGCGTGGGGCTATTGATAACACTCTGTTCATCAAGTAGTCAGGGTCACATCTTATTCTTTCTCAAGTGTATGTAGACGATATCATTTTTGGATCTACGGATGAGACTCCTAGCACTGAATTTGCTGAAGTCATGGATAATAATTTTGAAATTAGCATGATGGGTGAACTAACTTTTTTTTAGGTCTGTAGGTTAAGAAACTCACTGATGGGATCTTTATTTGTCAAGCCAAGTACATCTCTGATCTACTAAAGAAGTTTGGTTTCACTAATAGCAAACCAGTGAAGACCCCAATGTCACCATCTGTGACGATAACCGTTGATCCTACTGGAACTGATGTTAATCAAACAATGTATAGAGGAATGATAGGCTCTCTGCTATATCTCACTGCCATTCGTCCAAAAATCATGTTCGCCACCATGTTGTGTGCTCGCTATCAAGAAAATCCCAAAGAATCACATATTCATGTTATAAATAGAATATTTTGTTATCTGAAGCATACACCTAATCTTGGGTTATGGTATCCACATGATTCAGAGTTCAAGCTTGTTTTTTACACTGACTCTGATCATGGTGGATGTGGTATCGATCGAAAGAGTACTTCAGGAGGAGCTTAATTGCTGGGAAATAGACTTGTAAGCTGGTCAAGCAAGAAGCATATGTCATTGGATTGCTCTACCGCTGAAGCAGAATATGTTGCCGTTGGAAGGTGTTGACTCAGATTATTTAGAGTCAGAATCAGCTTCAAGATTATGGATTCTCATTCACCAAGACTCATATCTGCTGTGACAACACCGATGCAACTTTAATGATACAACATATTCTGAAGCAGGATATGTTGCCGTTGGAAGGTTTTGACTCAGATTATTTAGTTTCAGAATCAGCTTCAAGATTATGGATTCTCATTCACCAAGACTCATATCTGCTGTGACAATACCGATGCAACTTTAATGATACAAAATCCGGTTTAGCATTTTGAAGACTAAACACATTGAAATCCGTCATCATTGCATCTGTGATATAGTTCAGAAAGGTAAAGTTAAATTGCTTTACATTCCAACCACTGATTAATTGGCATATATCTTTACCAAGGCACTGGATGAGAAGACGCTGAACAAGTTGATCGCTGAACTTGGCATGCTTTTATTGACATAAACTCCATTCTCTTGATTGCAAAATACTTTTTGTGTTTTCAGCATCATTTCTCTCTTATTTCTAGTACCAATGAATTGAAATTATGAAACTTTTGACAATCCTGTCCCTAGAAGCATGTTGATGTATGTGACAAAATCTCTCTAAGTATCTTGATATTTGCATATGTAGCCATATATTTAGTATAGATTTTTATCAATTATTAGCTAATTATTTGCATATTATGGACAAAAGGTATTTAATAATGTTTGAATTATATTTTCAGTCCAGAAGCCGTGCTCGGAAGCAAAAGGAAGCAGGAGTCATGAACGAAAGCTCGGGAATGGAAGAAAGAAGAAAAAGGCTTAAATCTGAAGCTACTCGGCGAGTAGGGTCGTCTACTCGACGAGTAGACACGAAGGTTCGCGAAGAAATACGAGAAGTCCTTGCCGCATACGGATTCAACAAATGGACTCGTCGAGTCAGTTATCTACTCGACGAGTAGCCCCTGTTTTGAGAAAATTATAAATAGACTTCACAAACCCGAATTGAGGACTCTCTGGCTTTTTGGAGAACTTACTTGGCGACTAAGGAACTTGCTGGAGATCAGAAGAACGTGTGAAGAACCCTAATCCTTCATTCTTAAGAGATTAAGGCACTTTAGGTTTAATTTTCCACTTACTTTTGAATTGAATTATGTTAGGATTATTTGAATTTGTTTTTAAGCTTTCATACACTGAAATCATGAACTAATTTCGTTAGTTTCTGTTTGGGGAAGACAAATTTGCTCCTATGGTTTAATTTACTCTTTTGATTAATTGTTAGTTGGTGATATTGTTAAATTAAGCTTGTTAAAGACCCTTATGCATTAACTACAACTATTTTCTGTTAATTGCTAAGTGATTAAGCTGCATGAACATCTCTTAATTGCTTATCTCATATAAATTATGTGAACACAATACTATATGCCTAGGAATAATGAACATGAAACTAGGATTAACTAGAGAATGGGTAAATTAATGTGTGAGCTTGTATGATACACCATCAACAAGAGGTTAATTGAATCACCAAACTTAATTAGCTAGCTACAAGTCTTATTTAACCCGAATAATCAACCTAGGAAATCTATTAGTTTAATCAACTGTCCATTGTTTGAATTAGTATGTTTTCTAAGGATTAGTAATAGCGAATGCGAATCTAATCACTAGAGTCGGTAACCAATAACAATTAATCTATTATATTATCATAAAAATTAACCATAGGAGTAAATGAGTTGAACCTAAACAGAAACCCTTTTTGATCATTGAATTTAGTTTGTTTTTACGTGTTTTCAGCTTTTAATTGAGTAGTTAAGTTTTAGTTAAGTTTCTAGTCTTGTAAAACTAGAGAAACCCCTATTTTCTATTACTTGTTTTTAGTTAATTCTAGTTTTTAGTTTTAATTTTCCGTTCCCTGAGTTCGATACCCTATTTATTTAACTACACCACAATTGACAGGTCCACTGCCTTTGTGTGCCAATTTTATAATTAAAAGTAGGATTAAAACCAGTTGAATCTACACACATCATATCTCATCAGTAAGACCATCCGTTGAGATGTCATTGAGTCACCCACTCACCCTGATTCTTATGCACTGACATGTCCTTCATTGTGAGATTACCTAGTCCTTATAAAAAAAATTATTAGAAGGCTTGGGTGTCTATTTTATGATTGATCACTCATCCATACTATGTCCCTAGAAGCATGCTTTCCATATGCATTAAGTCTCATGTTCTGCTGAAACATCGAACATTACCTAGTGGCTTACCCTTATTGCATTGTCATCAGCGTAAGATATACTTTTCAGGTCCTTAACTGACAAAGGGTTACTCCAAGTCTTATAAAATAGAGCTTGAGGATTCACTATATAATACCATACCCTGATGAAAGTTTGAAACTGTGTGTCGATGGTTAGACTATGTACCATAGTCTATCACATACACCAACCCTTTCTCACTCTACTTTTCTTCTTAAAAGTTTTATGATTCAGGGTAAGATGCCAGACGTTAATGAGAACTTGAAAAATCTACGTTGATGGGTATATCATGTTCCAGGGCATATTACACACACCTACCCACTCTTTCCATTTTCTTCTAATAAAAGAAGTTAACGATTCAGCGTATAAAACCATAAGTTGATGACATTTTGCAATACTATGTCAATGATTTATAGTATCACAACATAGTATCAAGAGACATCACCAACCCATCCATCATTTTGCCACAACTCGTGATACGCTGATACCTTGTACTACAACATGTGATACGTTGTTTTTAAATGGTAACTCTTCAACTTTAACTTTCAAACGAGGATAAGAATGTCACTCGTTACCTTGGGATTCGAGAATTTTACGGCACCGTCTCTACTGCAATGATTACGTGAAAAGTGGGGGGATTTTTGAATATAAATATGAGTTTTCTTTCTCCTAGGTCATTCTATTTCCCTTTTTAAGCAAATTCTCTCGAAATCCCACTCTGATCATTTCCATCTTCTTCAAAGGTTTGCTATACTCAAATTTCTTCTCAGACTTCATCAATGGCTTCAGTTCTATTCGCTTTCATTCCTACTGTTGATGTTCAAAAGGCACCAAATACCCCTGAAACCCCCATCATGATTCAAGCTAACAATGTCGCTTTTACAGATGTCATTCCACCACAACACCAAAAATCAGGCATTAAAAAAGTTCGTTGAATACTTAAAAAGTTGCCCTCTTCGCTATGCCCTCAGTGATGTTCCAAAACTTTTCTTCCCAAAACAAGTAAGTGAGTTTTACTACTCATGTATATTTGACGCAGATGCTCAAACCATCTCCAGAACTATTGGAGATGGTCACTCAAGGGTTGACATATCTCATGAACTCGTTCGTCAAGTTCTTCGTCTCCCACGCCTGGCTGTTTATGAAGAGTCTCCTACTGAAGCCAGATGCATGTCAATTCTCTCTAGAACTTAGTATGATCTTTTTGTTCATGGAAACAAGGCCCTGTTAAATATGTTCTACGCCAGTGTCTTAATGATGGCTGGAAATATATGACAGGGGTTATTGGGAAATGTCTCGGGCACAAAATTGGCAGCTTGGACCAGTTAAATCTAATCGAGTTACGAATTCTATATGCCATTGTCCGACACAAGGATTTGGACTTTGCTCAGTTATTCTTTGATCATCTTGTTGAGTGTATCAGTGGCAATAATCGACCAACATATTTGTCATACCCTCGATGGATTGCTCTTCTTTTCGCTCACGCTGGGATGGGGTACGACATCAATCACAAGGCATCTATTCTAACTCCAACTTTATCCTCTAAAATTATCAAAGTTGGTTCTACAGAAGGAGACATTCACTTGTTTCAGCGAATGCTTCTCTGGATAGAACATCCTTATACTATTGACGATGAAGATGAAGATGAATAATCCAACAATTCCTCCAGCGAAAATGAAGATGAAGATAAAGAAAACAAATCCTCTAGCGACTCAAGTTCCACTTCTCCTTACAACAGTACGAATACTGAGTTGGTTCATGTGCCTGATTAAGAAACAGAGTTTGCTGCTCCTTCACCTATTCAATTTGAATTGGGTGAAAATGATGATGAAGATGAAGGCTCTTTATCAGACTCTCTTATACTAACCATGGTCTCTACCCCAAGACAAAATACTCACATTCGCTTTCCCTCCTATTCTCTATATCCCTCTCTTTCACCTGAACAAATCATGCAGCGTGGATCAACCCCTCCACAAGTTGGTTCATCTATTTCGCTAATAATTCCTATCTCACAGCGTGTGTCAACTCATCCTCACACTGATACAATTATTCCCATTCACACTAGTGCCACTCCTACACTGTCATCCCCACTTCATGTTAGTACTACTTTCCCCCAATCTTCACTTCTTCAAGTTGTTGCTACTTTTCAGGGGGAGTGATGTGTGTTTTTATGTGTATATTTTAATTGCTCAAGTTTTAAATTTATAAAACTGATTTTATCCCAACCAAACTAATAAACACACTAGGCAGTGAACCTAATCGTGCAATAGTGTAGTTGTGGTAAGACCAGGTGTCGAACACAAGGGGAACGGTGATGAATTAATTTGGAATTCTTGATTATAGATTACACAAAACACAAAAAAGCAATAAGAAGGGTTTTATTAAATTAAAACTCAAATAACAATGTAACATCAAATATCGATAAACTGACTGGAAGACAAATCTCTTTAGGTACTTTGGTTTAGACTAATTACATCTCAAAATAATGGTTAACTACTGATACAATGGTTATTTATTCATTATTCACATATTCCTAATATGACTAGCATCATGGTCAGACTACTAATCCTTTGATTTTAACACAACTATTAATTCATTGATCAAGTGAATAAACAATCATGCAAATCAGTATTTAAATCGTATTAAGCAAGATTTGATCTTATTTAACCCTAATCGTGATAGGAGTTAAATCATGCATAGAATGGTCATCTACTCATGTACACACATTAAAGTTCACCACTTTATTTCCTAACCCTAGGTTTTGGTCCAACACTAGTCATAAATACCAATGGTCATGGACAACTATGATTCAAATTAACACAGTAAAAATGGTCATCTCAACTTTATTAATTCAACAATAGGGAATAAAGTAACAATATTTAACACATATGGATCTTGAAATAAAAGTTGAAAAAATAAATTAAATAAGAATAAACAATCCAAATAGCAATTAAACCATAAAATCAAAGATTCGTTCAATCATAAACACAAAGCAAAGGTTTTAACACCCAAATAAGAAAGTAGCACATAATGGAATCACATTTGAATGCTAATAATGGTTAGAACAACAAACCACATGATCTCTGATATGAATCTGCTCTCTAATCCCTCAGATCTTCGCTCATGTCAGCTTAACGGCCTTCCGGCTGCCTTCTAGACTCTCAAAATGGCAGTAGGAAGGTTACGTGTCGACCAAGGATCAATGAAATTTGATTTCCTCCCTTAATTTGGCCGAAAATCGCAATTTATAGGTTTTGGAACCGACTTACATACGTTGGGCGTAAGTAGGTTTACGCGGGGCGTACTAAGAAAGAAGTCGTGATCTGGATCCGGACACCTAACCCAATACACTGGGTGTACTCTTTGAACTCAGCGTACACTAAGCGTACCCCCATTACGTTGGGCGTAATGGGCCTCTTCAGCCTCTCTTCCACTTTTTGCAATCCAATTCCAATTTCTGTCTTTTTCCCATCGTTTCCGCTCTAGCAACAATTTATACCTGTAAAATATATATTTAAACATTATAAGTACCTCTTAGTTCTAAATAGCATAAAAACTTAGTATAAAATAATAAGAAAACACCATATATATATATATATAATAGACGTTATCAAACTACCCCACACTAGTTTTTTGTTTGCCCCGAAGCAAACTGATTTTTAACTTACCAATATCGCATAAAACAATCCATTTTAAACCAACCATTATCCCAAAACCGAAATGCATGTATTTGTGTCTATAGTTCCTAAAAACTTCCTATTCCTGAATACTCACAATCCTTATTAACCGTCACCCCTTAGTTTATATGACACTCATTTTTGCAACCCTCTGGATCCATCCTCAGAAATCTTTCTGAACCTCAAGGTATTTATGGTTAAGCTTCTCAAGCAAACATATAATCTAGAAAGAATTACAACTTTGATACCACAATGGAGCTCTTTGAATTCATCACTTCTTTGATATTTACTCTTTGATTTCTTCGAATTCAACACCTTTTTGTTTGATTTTTGGCATCTTCAATTTTTTTTTATTCTTCAGAGTTTTTGATCTTTCGATCTTCATATTTGATAGCTCCAAAATTCTTTCAACTTTTGCAATTTTTTTTATATCTCACTTTTTTCGCTTAAATCCTACATGCTTAAGCAAGGGAGCTTAACCTCAACATTTATTGGTTAGATACATTAGTCTAAGTGCAATGACTACATAAGCTCTCCTGGATTGATTTCAGGTACACGATGCAAAACTTAATACATCGTACAAACTACCAGATTATCTTTCATATCTCATGACTTTTCACTAAGAATGGGAAGCCACAAATACACTATAACATATATTGGCTCAGGTAAACATTTGGGCTCGCATCAGATCATCCCATACAATACTAGCATTAAGATTTTTTTTAATTATCACTAGATTTAATAATAAACCATTTTTCAAGTTTATAATTTTTAAATTTTCCTAATCTAGCAATTTTTAATTTTCCAATTTAAACTTAATTTCCTTTTTCGACCCCCTACCTCACACTGATTTCATACAATGCCCTCATTGTATGCATAAAACTATTTAAACACATAAAAGCAGTAAAAATGGAGAAAAAGGAACAGAATCCCTTGGGGTAGAAGTGGCGAGATCGAATGGGGCTGCTAAAAGTTGCTCCAAAAATTTGTTGGAAGACTAGAAACTGGAATTGCTGCTTCTGAATGTGTCGGAACATAAAACCAAGAACGCCGACTTCTGAAATGTGGTGAAAAGGATTGCAAACTAATGCAATGTATAGTGATCACGACGTGGGAAAGTTTCAACCACGTCGTGTCGTCGAATGAGGAAAAATCTGAATTGTGAATAATAGCATGGCCACGACGTGGTAAGTGTTGACCACGTCGTGGTGTCTAGAATGGCAGCCTCTTTCTTGCGATGAAAAACTCCCCCACGATCTAGGAAAGTGTCAACCATGTCTGTGGCAGCCGGGATGATACTTCTGCTTCGCGTCGAAATAAAACTCCATGGCGTGTGAACAACTCTTCCATGTCATAGGAATCAATGTATAGTTAGAAATGCCACTCTTCGAAAAAATAATCCCTCAAGAAATCGATGTGCACCCCACACTTATTGAAAGCCGTGGCTCTTGATTGTCAACTTCAAACTCTCACACGACTTTTTCTCTTGTGATAAAACAACAGTCGGTCCTAGCGACTGAACTTACTGCCAGCTTTCTAAGGGCGAAAATTCTGCAAACTATGCCACATTCTATAAGTAATGGAGCGAATCATTTTGTCTCTTGCGGCTGATGGTATATACACTCCTCCTGTAATCTCAACCCAAAATGCATTCTCGTTGTAGTCAGCAGGCCGTCCCAGAACATAATCAGTAAGGAATGTCAGGAAGTGGACACTCCTTGTCTCATCCAAAGTATAAATCCCCACTCTCACGACAAGCTCAATCGCACTGCACTCCCTACTCACTCCACCAAGTCGAAAGGAAAAGGTTGTCCTGTCATCAGGGGTCTTTCTAGGATCAAAAGAAACCGTAGAATAAAACTCCAGCAAAAATTCCTGGTAAACAGGGTCTTGTATCCTGAATAATCTGTCCCAACCTTGGCATACAAACAAAGGCACTCCACTCGCGTCCAAGTGGGTGTATTGCAAAAAATTCTGGATTAGTTCATCAAGTCTAGTGTGGGTTGCCAATCTCCAATCTAGTGATGGCACGATATCTATTTCTTTGGTGAGCAGTAAACTGAGTTTTTCTTGATATCTAGCACGAGTTCCTTCGTTCAAATATTGTGGGAGTTGCAAAAAGCGGTGATCGTTTATTTCCTTGGGAGGCTGGTTTCTTCTTTGATTTCCTCTAGCCATGACCTGCAAAAATTAAGCACAAAACAACCACCACCAAAAAACAACATTAAATAGATTAAAAACAAAAAAAAATCGAGCTGGGCGATGGCTGTACGTTGGGCGTACGTCTTGCATACACTGGGCGTATGCTCGCAGTACGTGGTCTATGATGTTCTAGTCGAAGTCCAAGCCAAAAGCGGTCCCAAGGTTTAGTTTTAAGGGTCTTAATCGGTCCATTTAAGTATTATCTAGCATCAATTCATGAAAAACCGAACCCAAATAAAAAATGGTATTAACCCTAGATTTCTAATTTCGCACAATGCAACAAATTCGTAAAATTAAGCACAAATTTAAGTAAAAGGGTTACCAAGAATCATACCTTAGTGTCGAATTTAGCAAAATTCATAATTATTCATTCAAGGGTAGTCGCTAAAATTCATAAGTTTATTTTGTATAAACCTCTGTTGTGAATTGATTTCAAAACACTATAAAAGTCGGAACATGATACACTCGGAAACTAAGATAACTTAGTTTAAATAACACTCGACTTATAGCGACTACTAAGGGCTTACCACCGTCTCACCTTCAAAAACTGTATGGTAGAAAGATGCCTTTTCGTAGACCTATAAGGTGCGATCATACCAGCACTAATGCACCAGATCCCATCAGAACTCCCCAGTAAAGCGTACTTGGGGGAGGGTAGTACTAGGATAGGCAAACCTAACACTCGTACAATACCTATTTCTACCCACTACCATACATACATCTCAAGCAGGATTGGCAGAAACACTGAGAATGGTTCAGCAAAACGCGAAGTT